ATTCTATCACGTAAAATACGATAAATCGCTCGAAATATTCACTTTCTAATGAGCTTGCCATATATATATAAACAGAGACGGAAATAAAAGACTCTAGTCAGCTCATCTCGTTTTTCACTAAACAAGGACAAAAGTCGGAGATTCGGACAACGGCGGCAATAAAGTGTGTAACGCAGACATATCATGCGATTATATTGAAATGCAGTTCCTTGACGACGGCTAGTAAAATAAATCAATATATACGCCGGTACCCTTTCTTCATTTTTTACTCTCCCTCAGGAGAGGCACGCGATAAAAGCGTCTATCTTTCCCATAAACTTAGCAAGCCGACCTCTCATTCAGGGAGGCGGTGATGCGCCTCCGTTTCTACTTAAGACGAACATAATATCCCTGACATAATAACGATGACTCTGCCTCCGATATAATAGCGATAATAACGATCGCCCCGGCCAAGTCGATCTTGCTGTATAATGAAGCCTAAAGTAAAAGAACTTAAAAGCCGCTAACTTGGTTTAACAGCGTAGAGAACAAGAAGTAAAGTCATTTCCTTAGGCAACGTGAATCGCGTGGTTCCAGGCACGGCGTTGTGGGAACCGATTCACCTGGCTCACCTGGCTGACATAGCGATGGTCTGGTTACTGCCAGCCAGTTATCTCTCGCCGCTATTCGCTGACTGCAATATTTTACAATTCAATACCCCTTTCTTCGGAACTTGAAGCTTCACTTTTTACGCCGTCTAGACCAAAAAGAGCACTTGTTACACCAAAGACACGCTCTATGTAGGATACGATTAAGCGTCAGTTTTTGTATGCAAATCTACTTTCGCTAAATCTTTTAACGTTATTTAAAGGACAGGCGACACAATAGCAAAGTGTTTTATGGTGAGCTTTGGGACGTTTGTTGCTTAGAGATTACAGAGAATTGTTAAGCAGTAAATGAATACTTTGTCGTAAATATTTTTCTTTTTTACTGAGACTCATCGGAAAGTTTTTCCCCATATTAGCTTCTCATTTTCTACGATAGACAGAAACTATCCTACATAACTCCATGAATCACGATCGACCGTCAAGGAAAGAAAATAGTGTTATATATAAATAAGTTTATAAGAATAATTTAGTTTTAAGCACCTATAGTTCAATAATTATTACATAATTAGTTATGTAAGTAAAATCGCAGTTGCATGCAAACAGATCTATAACAGTCGGAGCTACTCTCTCGTATAGCTTCACGAATTTGTTAAACAGATAAGAGGCTGTTTTACACAAACAGAATAAATATAACCGAGGTGCGATACGCATTGCAGAAATGACGCCGTCAGCGGGGTCAGGGTTGGCAAAGTTGATTTTGCGTGATGCCGGTTAATGATTACATCGAGCGCGGTATTGTATGCAGTCATGTACTTGGAAGTATCGAGAAATTCGGTTAAAAAAAAAAATTGTAGAACGTAATCGAAACGGAACGTCTTCCATGCACGCTTTTTCAAACAATTGCGGAAACGTGTTCTTGGAGGAAAGAGCATCGAGTCGCAAAATATAAAAACGCGAACACGGAATTCTCGTTACCGTTGTTAAATTCTAGGATTTCAACTGACGATCCATAAGTCAAGTGACAGTTTGCTTCGAATTCTGAGAAGACTGTATGAAGATTTTCAGGCAATGTCGGATATATATGCGCTTGTATGCCTAACTCGTTTAACCGCCAACCCATGACGCATTTTCCTTGTAATTCTCGGGCACTCGGGATTTACGATGCATACATCCGATTTCGATGTGCGTTGCGTAACGGAGAAGAGGCCACCCGAGGCTCGTCGATTGCCCGTCCGCTCTTCTCGAAACAACACGGCCGGAGCGAGCGGGCAGGCGGATATACGATACCGACATTGTATCTAATCTCCTCTGCAACGCGACGAGCAAATACAATATTCCAGAAGGCGATACTTTCGGCGCGTATCGACATACCGGCTATTTGACCGTTCGTTCAGTTAGTGCTATCCGGAGTCTCGTCGCTCGACAATAAACCACCGTCTTTCTACGAAAATATCTGAAAGAATCGCGCAGAGTGAAGAACATCGTACGTTATAATTTTCTCTCTTTCTTTCCTTCATTTTTTTCCTCGACAGTCGATATCTCTAATTCGGTTGGTATTCTTTTGACGCGGCGTATCATCCTCGGCGAAGGAAGTCGAGGATCGAGAGGAGATATGCGGTTCCGATCGCCAGCATTTTTACTCCTCTGCGTCGTTTCGCTCGCGACGGCGCAGGGAATCAGCGAGTGTCGACAGGATGCCGACGACGAGCTGATCTGGGAATATGACGTCAGGAGACCGCACCGAACTGGTGGTTATCAAGTGCGTTTACGATCATATCGGAAATCGTGTCCTGTTAATTGTACCTTTCGGATCTAGATCCACTTGTTGACAGTTATCTTAATCCATTCACGAAGGTTTCTCGATTGTAACTAGGAGGTAGAGGCGGATTACGGACCGACGGACGCGAGAATCACGTGCATACGTTTCAACTCGCTGTCCGATGATGATAACGGCGCAGCATGGGTCACCGCCGGCGGAATCGGTCACGACTTCGTCAAACTCAAGTTCAGGTCGAAGTACTCGCGAGGGCTCCACTACAGAGTCCTGGTTTATGGACGGCCCACCCTGAGAAGAGGTTCACCATAGCGTCTTTGATGGCTATCCTCATAAATTCTTGGTGTCTCGCATTAGTACTTAATTCCTCATGTTTGGATGCGTAATACATTATATCTTTCTAAGTTCTCAATTCTTTCTTTAATACTGTTAAATCTATCATATGTAGTAGTGCGGTAAAGCCATACGTATGTCTCAATGGAGAGATTAAACATCACGCGCTTCCGCATCTGTCGATACTCACAAATCCGCCCACTTAAATATATTTACAATCCACGTTGTCTCGGTTTTCATCCGGAGCGGCGTGTCGCACGAATTTTCGACACTGACATCCGCGCAATAAATCTGTAGATAGATTTACCACCGTTGTAATTCAGGACGTTAACCCGTCGCGTGTCCCGATAATACTGACAGAAATGGAACCGCCTTCTGACAGGAAATAGAGCCTCCTCCGATAGTAAATCTATCTCCTATCATTTTAAGGTTTTACTTCTGACAAGAATAATAAAAATATAAACTCAAGCAATTAGCCGCACATTTTTCTAATTTACAATGTTCGTTCTCTGCTCGCGTAATTAGGCGAAGGTAGATTTAGTCTCGCGCATGTGATAACGTAATAAATCTTACTACACGTAAAACATCCCTTAAGGAGGTTGTCTCTTAAGGAGAATCTTTAATTTCAGGAAAAAAAAGTTAATTCTGAAAATTGGAAAATTAATTTTTATGGTCCGTAATCAAAAGACAATGGTGGGAGTTAATATATCATTTCACAAGTTGAAAACTTAGTTTTGCCAGGAATTGATGGGAGGGGAGGGATTATCGTATTCCGAATGCACGGTACCATGTAACCTATATATCCCTTGTGGGTCAAATTCCGAAAACAAGCTGACGTGACCACAGCGATAAGCAGAACCCGCGTCGGGTTCCACGTGGAAAGGCGCGGGGACGATTCTCCAGATTGGGAAAGCTTAATACGAGCCAACTCCCCAGAGAGGGGTGTACCATTCGCGGATTGCCTCCATCGACAAGTTTCGAAAGAAATATATTTTCCCTGCGTGCAGGAAATAATTACGTGATCGAACATGCGAAACGATATCCGTTCCTTCGGGCAATTACACGAAAAGAAAGTTTTGATCAGCTAGTCCGGGTAGGCGAGCACGTCGAGCGGTATCCGGAAGACAGAAAGATTACCTGTTCATCGGGATATTCGAAGACATTTTCGATATCTATTTATTCCTTATACTTTGCAATTGAATTCTCTCATTTTACGAGCGACAGCTTTAAAATAATTAAAAGCTTACTTAAAGACAATTTTTTACCGAAAGAAAAAGAAAGGCAGAGAGGCAAATGAAAAACATGTAATTCTGCAAGCAAAGTTGTAATTTCATATTAATTATTATATAAGTTATTATTATTAATTAGTGTTAATTACGTGTCTTCTCTATGAGTATAAAAATGATCATATTCTACAATCATAATGCTGTAAAACATATATTAAATATATAAATATATGTTCTAAAAATTATCGGTACTTTTTTCCATTTCTTGCCTTAATCCCTTATATGTCAATAAAGAAAAAAATATATTATAAATAACAATTTTTGATCACAAATAACAAACGTTCATTCATCACGTCTATCATTATATATAACACTTTAACTTATTTATTTATAATCTTTTTAAAATTATTTGAAATTTTAAAATTATTTGAAATTTATCCTTTTAAAGCGATCGATATGCAGTTACAATCACAAAACTGATAAGCTATCAAGTTGAACGTTCTGTCCGTTTACGCGTAACCAGGTAGCAAATTTCGACTTCTCCCGGCTCTAATGTTCACACCACGTCTACATTGCTCAGCCCTCGTTCACCGCGTACGCGGGGGGATACATGTGCCGGGACACCCTCGCGTACGGCACCCCCGTCCCCGTTGACTTGCGGGAACCGCGTTCAGGCGTTCGTGGGTGCCGCGCGCGGCACGCGATCCTGCCACCCGCGGTGGGATCCCCTGCGGGAACAAGACGGCAGAAGCGTCGCGACGCCGATTCGTCGACGGCGCCTCAGTGAAGTCCAGCCGTCCGTGGCGAACGCAAGCGACCGCACCCCCGCTGTTAGCCCCTGAGAAGCCCTGAGGAAACCGTACCGCCGCCAGCTGTCCTCCCTCGTCGCCGAAGAAAGCGCTCGCATCCAACTTCTTTTGCGAGAAATCATCGTGACACCAATTCGAACATCGAAATATCCTTTAAAGATGCCGCGGGTGAGTTGTACTAATGGTTCTTTTATCTTTTGGCATCAACTGTTATTAATATATATTTTTTATTAATTATTAATTATGTATTAATAATTTTTAATAATATTTTCCAATAAAGAATACTCTGAAGCTTTCTAGGTCAAGATGTTATTGAATATATAAATAAGTTATTGAATTGTCAAAAAGAGATCTGTTGTTTTAGATTTTTATATGTTTCTGCATTTGAAATAAAAAAAATAAGCGTATTTTCTCAGGTTTCAAGAGAAGTGTGACGAAATAAGTAGGTAGCAGAAAGCGCAATTAAAATCGATTACCGTCTTTTATTATACATTGTAATAATACCTGCTTTTATAAAGCATTATGTTGTAGAAATTAACAAGGAAATGCTGAACCTTTTGACATTTAAACAATTGCATTTGTCACGAAGTAAATAAAATAATTCTATTTTTTCATAATTACACATCTATATTTTTAATAACTACGTTCGTAATTTCGTTAGTATTAACACGATATATAAGCATTTCATGTTTTCCAAGTTTCTATCTAGATTGAACCGTCTGATCTAAAGACAATTGAACCCTCGATTAAACATGGATTTCCAATGCCTAATTACGTACGCCATCCTTATCGCGCAATTGATCGACCAAGTCTTCAAACAAGCGGTTAGTCCTGTAAGGTTCAGTTAAGCGCTCGCTGAGAGCGTAGAAATGAAATCGTTAGCAACATCGGTTAACTAGTTCCACGCCAGCGAGAGTTGATTGACTCCTTTCATTATCTCGAACCGCACAAACACTGGTGGAGATCCTATTACTGTCTGATTCCCTCACGATTCAACTAATATAAGAACGTAAAATCTAATTAATTATAAAACTTTGATTAATAAAATAATTATATATATTTTTATTGCCTATTCTTCGAGATTTTATATTCTTCGCGTGTAGTGTGAAAAATAATTCTTATATTTATTCGTTTGTACAATGTACAAATGTGAAAGAATACTTTTTTAGTACTATTTTCTTTAAATTGACAATATTTAAAAAAAGTTGAAGTAGATTTTTGGAGTTTCTTCAAAGGAGCAATTTTTTCCTAAATGAAAAAAAGTATTGTAATCAACAAAAATTATAATTAATAAAAATTAATAGGTAATTTCATTTTCAATTATTAAAATTTTAAACTTTTTTGATCCGATAATAAATGTTGATGCAAATCTTTAATAATATCCTTGATCGTAAAATCGAGAGTGACCACTGGACAGTTTTACAGAGTATGACGCATTCGTTGTGAAGAGGGGTGTCGACGTAAAATCATAATAATCTATTCATGAACTGGGGTTCATTCTGTCATGTGTTGCAACCTCATTCACCAGTCACATATGTATTTGCTACATATGTTCTCGATACATCATACATGCTACATGCACGAGATAAAAACGTTTTTAGAGACGTATTCCACACTTAGCGCACAATTCTCAGCACTTGCTAAAAGCTAAGCGCATCTGCTCTGTGCCTATTTTTTATTGGACAAATAAATTAAATATTTACGCGTCGTGTCATATTTAGCGAAGATTCTTTATTGGGCGAAGACACATATATGATTCTTTTTTCTTCCTCGCGATCGTTACAACATCATCATTGATGAGTCTCGCAATTAAATACGAATCTTTCGAAAAAACGGGCCTCAAATCATGTTTCATTTTCTATAATGATAAAGTAAATGCGCATATGTCGTACATTGCGTGGTATTTACTCACATGCGTATACTACACGAAATGCAAACCCAATTGCGCACTTTAACACGCGTGCACTGACACACTCAGCACGGTGTGAGAAGCTCGATCGATATGACAACATACGCGACAAAGTATACAATATTCTCTGTAACACCGTTTTTCCTCGAGGGTTTTGCAGGACTCCAATAAGCCGATCTCATTGTAAGAATTTCTTTCGCGATCGAAATCGCACAGACTTTTATAAATATCGAATGCGCTTTAGTTTGAATCGCAAAATACGTTATCTGCATATATCCGTGATTTGCATAATTTCGAAAATGCTGCGGTTTACAGATCACTGCGGGCAATGTCCATCATCGTTATATAAATTGTATCAATTGCGCTGATGCAACATTTCAATCAACATTCAAGTCAAATAAGCAAAAATGTTTAATTTTATATACACACATGCACACGTATATTTACATATACACAGAATGATGTCTAATTCATATTTTTTTTATTATTTTTAATTTCTTACGATTTCTTATTTTCACGATTAATCATGTGATGTCATTTTAGCACATTAGACTTCGGATTTTAATCACTGGACATTGACCACGAGTAATTTCCGCGTATAAGAAATGAAGAAACAGTTTTGCTTTTCCCATTTTTTTCTCATTTATTCGGGACTTCACGTCGGAATGACGAAATTGTGCCAATAGTGCAGCAAAATCCGTAAATAAACGAATGAAATCGATTATAACGGCACTGGATAAAAATCGAAGTCATTAATAGAAGTGCTTTGAAATGTTATTAGAAAATCCAAAAGCGCGGTTATCGTAAGGACACTGTGTAACAAAATCACGTTTCGCGCACGATACATCTAACATATGCAGCATAGACATTTTCCGTAATCTCTTATTTTTTCCTTCGGTACAGCAAGCGATAGCAATGCCATCGCAAAATGTTTTGGAATATGTACAAAGATTACTAAGTTCTCTAAGAGCATGTCTCGGTTTTATAATAATATATGATGATCTCTTAATGAAGTTCGTGACACATTTACGATAACGTGAAACAAGAATTGGTGCAATCTGCACATGATCAAGGGCAAAGATAGGCCATCCATTACAAAACTGTCGCAAATGTCCGCATGTCGATGTGAATTCTCTCACGTTGCGATGCGGACGTAGGCCATTATCCCGGCCCGTTCGCGTCGTATTATCTATACTTTCCTCATGCTCGATCAAGAGAAACTAACCAAACTAGCCGAAATCAGCGCTTTCCGATTCGTGCACAACAGAGCTACGTGACTTTCGTCGAGGCCTTCGGCCTTCACATTTTTTTACGTGAAATTTCTCGGTATCGCATTCTCGACTTTGTCCCGTCTCGACGGAAACGGAAAGGGAACAAGAGTTAACGGGAAAAAAAGAGGAAGGAGAAGGAGAACATAGACGCATGCATGGACTCCACCATTCTGTTAAAAATCCATACACACTTCTCCAAAGGCGTGTTTATCGGGTCGCGGGATGGAACGAGAAGACCGAGAGAAAGAGGGAAAAGACGATACAGTCTCGCTGACCCACGAAGCCATATAGTCTGTAAAAACTTATACTTGTCAGCTAGATACGGGCAGGCAGACACGGCTCGATCCGCCTCGATTGCTGCCCCTCGATGAGACCTCGGCGACATAAATTCCTTGACAGAAAAAAAAAAACAGAAACAGATTCCGTAACAAAGTTGGAATTACACACGTATATTTCTCGCGTTGAAGCGACCTTCCTACGACGCGGCTATCAAACGGCACGAGGGCTGCGAGTGATCGGACTCAAAAACCGATATTTTTTGCGTATCTTTCTCTTTTTCGTAAAAAAATGCTATTGCCTACGAGATACCGCCTATCATGAGACACATAATAAATGAAGACGCCTCTCCAGTCTGGGTCGCTATTGATACCGAAACAAAGTTTTGCACTTTGAATCTGACATTTCCGCACTTCATTTGTCACTCGTGACAAATACGATTATCTGAAATTATTGTTGATCTCAAAGTCCAATGTTAAACTACGTTCCGCACGACATGTGCGCCTCCAATAAACGGGAGCTAAACGATGGGACATGTTTTATAATTGTTCATATTTATATCAGTCAGCGATATAAGGGAGTGCCGAAAAGAGATATTTACGCGTTTTCTTCTGAAATAACTATGCGAGGAGAGAAACCGTCGCTGCAAAACGCTCTACTCGAAGTTATTTCGATCTTGTAATACGATGACTTTTAACAACTTTAAACGATCATAATTAGATTGTCCTCAACATCGTTAGGTAAATCGAAAGAAGAGCCGAAATGACCGGCTCTTCGTTCCCTCTCATTTTCCACGGTCTTTCCCAGAGAAGTTGAATCCCCCTTTCGGGGCAAAGCGTTTTAACTCGAGTACGGCACGAGTCCGTGTCTAATTTTTTTGTCTTCCCTACGAAGGGCCTTTAGTATCTGGCATCTGAGCGAATGGGAAGTAGAAGAAGCTCGAGCCCACTGCCAGGCACTGAATGGCACCAATCGATATATGCCCAACCTGGTCCGCCAGGATATCACTGGCGAATATATACCGCCGGCTCGACTTCCCGTACGAAGACACTTCCACTGTACGACTTTAAGTTGTCACGATGGCTTAAATGTACCGCGTGAACCGGCGAAACATTACAGTCTCCACATATGAGTAACGTCACCCTCGAATGGACTTTGTCCTACGGATCGAAGCCTAATGATTTCTGCGTGTTCATCCTAGATTGTAGTTTTCGAAGCGTTCAGTAACCTGGCGCGAATATCAATCGCACGTCACGTGTTTTATGTATTATTGTTTGCGTCATGGAAAGACGTTTGAATACATCTTGGTAGACATTTTTCTCACGCGAAAGCTGTATCAAGTTTCCAAATCACAGAAAATCTTTTGAAAACTGCGTCTCCACAACGGGCACGTAAAATCTATTGAACCCTCGACGATTATTAGAGGTTGCCTTAAATGCCATTAAAATTTACGATATCCCGTTATGGACAATAATTTATTTAGAACAATGCTGAGAAAGGCACGAAGGGTGAAGTCGATCGATTCGATTCTATGGGTAAATCTTACGACGTACGGTTCCGCAGCCATTTATTCGCGCGATCGTACACGGTTACCAACACCTCATGAGAATTTAGCAGCTGGGTTAACAACTGCCGCGAGATAAACCGCAGGTCCGGTTCATGCATTAACATCGCGTTCCACCGCTACTAATATATACATTCCAAACCGTTGTAATGATCATAAAGCGGACGTCTGCCTTGACAAACTATACAATTGTCTGATAATTAACAATGATCACTGACATTATCAAAACTATACGTTCTTGCCATGCATTCTTTTTACCTATTATTAATATTATACTCCGAATTGCAAGCATTGCAATAGCATGAAATTAATTAATTTAAAGCAAAATTTGATTATATATTGTAATATCAAGAAACACGATTATTTAATTTACGCCGCATAATATTAATTTTGTGTATTTCATTCTCGAGTTAATTCCTACATATGTTTTACATGCACTATAACCAACGCGTGTGAAAGCTAAAAAAATAAATTTGACATTATCTCGGCAATGTGTTCACCCAAAAACGATTGAGATATAAGATGCAATAGCGGAGACAAAACACAGAAAATATATAGAACTACTTCGCCAATTTGTTTCGTCTTCGTATTACGATAATGGCGTATTTTGATAGCAAAGACTGCCTTCGTGCTGCAATCAATAAATAAGCTGATATCGTAACTATAAATGTGTTAAAATACATGTCGGCGGTCACGGGTTCAACTATTAGAAGCTGATAACGATCTACAAGCGAAAAAAATCAAACCGAACGGATGCAGATTAGTCCTGTTGCGTTTTATCAGCTTAATTAGTCTTAATCTATTCAAAATATTCTCAAATGAGAAAACAATTCTACAGTCAAGGTCAATTACAATTACGACGATAAGCTCGAACTCGTAATTTGTTAAAAATTCAGAAAAATATCAATTACAGAATTCTCCGTAAAAGATGCGTCAAATACGTAGGAAATATTTGAAATAATACTTAGAAGATAAATTGTGCAGTTTTCGATTAAAGCAAAAATATGAAATAGCGCGCTATTCAAATTAATAGAATAGTATATTGTGCACCAAGTAGCGAAAGTAGCGTTTTTCAGACGAGTGTGAAGTTTGCCGTCCGAGCCAAAGGCGAGGGCGGCAAATCACACGAGTCTGAAAAAGCTTCCGCCCCGAGGTGCACACCATATTTTTCACAATATTTTTATGGAAAGTTCGACTTCAAGAAGCATTTCAGCTATATTGCAATAATTTTATGACGTTGTTGCAATATAGTTGAAATGTTTCTTGACCTTTCTCGCTTAATCGGAATGTAATTGCTGAAAAGAATTGAAAATTATTCCCTACCTACGTTTTAACTAAGTCCCTACCTACGCTTATTTCTCCACGCTTCCCTACGCTAAAACTCACCGACCCTGATGTGCAGCAGCGGAGCTGTATCTGCAACGTTGCTACGATGATTCTGTAACAATCAAACATACAATCCAAATTAGAGCAGAAAAGAAAGGAGACAGTCAGTATTTCGAAAAATAATTACCAAACGTAAAACACCGAATTCTATATTTTAATTCGTTAAACGAATTTAATAAAAAAATCACGTTTAATTTCTTAAAAGTATACTCTATTTACTGAACACAAGAATTTTAAATAAAATTTTAAAAATTAAACTCTTTTTTAATTTCTACTCTCTGGCTAACTTTACTATTCGATTGAAAAACCGATTGGTTAAACTATCCGCGAAAAACACAATATGTATAAACCAATTATATTTACCGCATGTTGTTCCGCCGGCGCCTGATGCTTCTCCCAGGCCTCCACTTTCTTTCACGCTGCTCGAGGTGTCCCTCGTGTTTCCTCGATGCCAAGCTGATGCTCCTTCCTGCGCGCGCGCGTGGATATGTTCTGTAACATAAAAATAAACAAATCGATTAAATAATTGTCACGCGCATCGAACATCTTATTCGTTATTCCGATTAATGTTTTCCTAAATTACTTCTTCGAAAAAAGTCTCTACGTTAGAATCAACTTGAATCAAATTTTTCCATTTATTTCTTTTTACTAATTTATATTTCGAAACACGGTTTAATGTAGCAACTAAATAAAAACAAACAAAAAAAGAGATTCTATAATATCTTTAGAAAAAATAAAAAATAACACTTACCAGAAGTATTAGTACGCCGATGCCCGATGCCTCTCCTAGGCCTCCACCTCCTCTCAGGCTGCTCGAGATGGCCATCGTGTTTTCTCGATGCAAAGCTGATGGTCCTTCCAGCGTGGATATTTTCTGTAACATAAAAATAATCGAATC